CAGAGCAGCACTCAACTGAAAACTTGTAAGTTGTTCATTTTCTGCAGTTTTCCACTTGATATTTTTGGACTGTGAGTAACTGAAACCACAAGCAAGTGAAACCAAGGCTGGGGGCGGGGCGGGGCGGGGCGGGGCTGGGCTGGGCACTAGACTTCTAATGCAGACTGGATGCCCTCCAAACGGAAAAGATCTTTGGAGAGCAAAAGAGAGAGTTAGCCAGCAATGAAGTTGAACTGTGCTGGAGACGCATGACTAAAGGGGTCAGGACTCTGCAGCTGATGCTTACATTCCCTTCTTTCATCTCACCACCGCCAGCCTTTGCTTTTTTGTCTATGTAGAGGGAGGCTAGGCACTGCACCGATGGGTTAACTTTCCCGATTTGGCCCTGTGGATTCTGGGAACGCCATCTCCAGGCCTGGCAGCAAATACCTTTACTCCCCGAACCATCTTGCCAGCCTTTCCATCTTTATTTTTGAGACAGGGTCTCTCAGAGAACTAGAGCTTCCAGTTTCAGCTGGAATGGCTGGCCAGGAGTTACACAAGACACTGGCTCGGTTTTTACTTGGGCACAAACACAAACAAGCACTTTACCATGGAGCTATCGCACCAGCCCTTTCTGTTTAAGGTGAGATCTCCCCGTGTAGCACTAGCTGGCCTCAAATTTGCAATCTTCCTGCCTCAGCCTCCAGAGTGCAGGGATTACTGGCAAGCGCCCCATGCCTGGATCCACAGGTATTTTCATGGCTGCTGTTAGGAGCCGGGTTTAGCCTGAGTAACCTCGGCAAATGACCAGCTCCTTGATTTCCTAAAATCACTTGCTCTTCACAGGTACAAAGGTCAAAACACTGTCGAAGCCGCAGTTTCTTTCAAAGAGCTCATTCATTTGCTGGGTGGAGCCCTGAAGGCAGGGAAAAGGGCTCCACCCCCGTCCCCCCAACCCCACCTCCGCCAAAAAAAACCCGACGTACACACCACTCAAACCACAGCGGAACAACCCGCCCTGGGAAACACGGAGCCGCCCAAGCCGACCAGCAAAGCGGAGCCAGGGTCGGGTGGGGGTGGAGTGGAGGCAAGGGGACACGGGGCAGGTACCAAGCCGTGGGATCCACTCCAGGGAGGGAGGAGCCCTAGATGGGAGGGCTTCCAGACCTCAGTGCCCAGGTTGGCCAATAGTGAGCCGCTAGCAAAGCTCACCAAATTAGGCAAGCTGACTGCACAGGGCGGGACCCAGGGCTGCTAGCTGGGAAGTCAGGCCCTTTCCCCAAGCCAGCCCCGCCCTGGCTCCCGTAGCTTGGGAGAGGAAGGCCAGGGCGTGTTTGTAAACATGAGGGCTCCACCTCTACACAGAAACTTAAACTGAAAAAGTTTTGGCAGGCGTGCACCTCAGGCCTCTGAGCTTTACAAAAGCTCAATGGAATTCCACAGTGCAGAGATAACGGATGTCAACAGAGATCTTTTGTTGTGACACTTAAAGGTCCAGGGCAGGTCCCAAGCCGCCATCTCAACAGGTGACCAAGAACCCAGTCACCTTACCCCACGGGGACCCGTGGGAACTCTGAGGAGGCAAGGGCCTGCTCCCTCTCAGCAGGAATGAGGTGACAGAAAGACCACGCTCCAATGAAGTAACGGGGCCACCAAAGCACCAGCTGCTTTGCAGAGGCCTGGGGTCTTTACAGTCACTGTCCCACCTGCCCAAAGACATACCACACCCCAACCTTCACCCAAAGTCACTTTGGCCGTTTTGCTTTTGAGACAGTCTCCTGTAATCCATGCTGGCTTCAAGATCTCTCCATAGCTGAGGATAACACAGCTTCCTCCTGTTACCACTTTCCCAGAGCTGGGATGGGCATGCACCGTGCTAGGATACTCCCGGGCTTCCTGTGTGCCAGGCAGGCGCTCTAGCAACCCGGCAACCCCCTAACCCCCACTACTGTTTTTATCTGGACAGATGCAGGACGATCTCGGAGTTTGAGGCTAGCCTGGTCTTCTTAGTGAGTTCCAGGTCAGCCAGGGCCACAGAGTGAGATCCTGTCTCAAAAACAATGTTAAAAATACTCCTATTCAATCCCATAATCTTGTGCCCTAGAGCGCCCCCACCCCCCTGCTTTTGAGATGAGGTCTCATTATGCAGGCCTGGTCTGTCTATAACACGCTATGTAGACCAGGCTGGCCTTGAACATGTATGGGATTCTCCAGGGTCTGTCCTTAAGTGCTGAGATTTCAAGCATGTGCCATCATGCCCAAATAAACTCAGGGCCACTTCCAGGCTAAGGAAGTGTTCCACCACTCCTCTTTATTATAAGATGGGATTCCACTAAGTCGCCCAGGCTGGCTTTGACCCTACTCAGTAGCTCAGGCTGGCCTTGAACATAAGCTTTTCCTAGCGTCACACCGTCAAGGTGGCCCCACCTGTTCCACATGTGGGCATCTTGTGCCTGTCTAACAGGCTATAGCTTTCTTAACTGTTCATGAGTACCGAGGATGAGTGACGTGACAGTAGCCACTGGGGCAGAGGGACTTTATGGAGGGGGCGTCACAGTCTCTCATAGTGGCCAAATCAGCTTACTAATCAAACATTCACTCCTGCAATCCCAGCACTTGGGAGGCTGCGGCAGGAGGATTATGTCAAAATTCAGGCCAGGCTAGACTGCATATTGAGTTCTGGACCAGCCTAACTACAGTGTGAGACCCTGTCTCAAAAACCAAATTTGGGGCTCAGATAAGGGGTAAAGATGCTTGCCATTAACTCTTACCACCTGAGTTTGACTGAGACCCAGGATCCACATGATGGGAAGAGAAATGACCCCCAAAAGCTGTCCTCTGACCTTCACATGCCTTCCCCAAAATAAGTCAATATATTTTAAAATAACAAACGAAATGAAATAAAAACAAATCACACACACAGAACGCCCTGACTGGCCGAGAACTCTAAGGCGGGCATGTCTTGGGACACTACCCAGTGGATCACACACATGGAGTTTGGGTGTTAGGACAGGGCTGTGCCCAGCCTGAAATGAGGCTGGGGAGCACTCTTTGATGAAGTGACAAGCTGAGCACAAGAGAGCTGTCATCTCTCACCACCGCCTTCCCGAGGGCCGAGCTGTTACTGCAGGCTTCACAGACAGGAGACACATGGGCCTGGGAAGCTGCTGTGATGTGACCTACCCAAAAAGACACAACACATCACCCACATGGCCAGGACCATACTGGGGTCCTAGACCTGATTCCTGGGGCTGCGAGTTCCCAGGCTATACCTCTCGCTGGTGTCAAGAAAGAGGCCTCCTACTCAAGACAAGGGAGCCATGTGCATACACTGCATGGTAGGAAACAAAATAAGTTCCCAAAGGCAAACCAAGGGTTAACCCCCCCCCCCCCACACACACAGTGTGCTCATGTTTATGGTAATACTCTTAACCATCTTGGGTTTCCACCAGCAGGAAGGACATCCTCAGATGTGACCCCCTGATCATAAACCTCTGGAGCTGAGAACCAAAAGTCTCTCTTATACATAAACTTAAAAAAGGGGGTAAGTGCCAGCCAGGTGTGGCAGTGTACACCTGTGATCCCAGCTGGTTACTGAGGTAGGAGGATCAAGAGTTCCAGGCCAGCCTGAGTATCAGGAAGCTTCCATGTCTATGAACCAAGGGCTAGGATGTGGCTCAGTGGCAGCTGCCTAAAATTCCCATATCCCGTGTGCTGGTTTGAGTAAGAATACCTAAAATTCCCATATCCAGTTGCTGGTTTGAGTAAGAGTGCCTAAAATTCCCATATCCCGTGTGCTGGTTTGAGCAAGAGTGGCTCCTGTGGGTTCAAGTGTTTGAATGCTTGGTGCCTGTTGATAGACTGCTTAGGGCAGGTTAGACGGTGTGTCACTGGGGTGAGTCTGTAGGTTTCAAAGTCCCTGTCAGGCCCATTCTCTTTCTGCCCATCCAGTCTGTCTGCAGATCTAGCTGCTGAGGTATGCCTGTATGCCATGTCGTCCACCATGTTAGCCATGGACTCACCCTCTGAGACTGTAAACTAGCCCCAATCAGACACTTTCTTTTATGAGCTGCCTTGGTCTTGGTGTCTCTTCACAGCAATAAAACAGTGACAAAGACACCTAGTATGTATAAAAATCTGGGTTTGATTCCTAGCACCAGGGGAAAAATTTTTTTAATAAAGAGACAGCACTAAGCATAACTCCAGAAAAGTAGAAGATACAACTTTGGGGACCCAGTGAGGTTACCCATAGCAGTGACCCATGGCCAGGGCTCAGGGACAGCACAACCCTGGCTTGTGGGTTTTATGGGTCCCCAAAATCCTGCCCCCAAGGAATGGGCCACACCTATGCCACAGTCACAAGAGTGCCGGCCACTATCTGCCACCTCTGCAGGGCTGACCTGTACCATGAACTGAGATGGAAACCAGAGGGTTCAGGGGCACATGGCCCCAGCACCGGATGGTGGCACAGCACTTTTAAAAGCGTAATGAACACGAGAGGCAATGAGAGGGAAATCTGCTTCAAAAAACACCTGTCAGAATCCAGGTCCCCCTCCCCTCTCTACTGTGAGACAGTCTCACATAAACCAGCTGACCTTGAACTTACTATGCAGTAGAAAATGACCATGAAGTCCTTATACCCCTACCCAAGGTCAAAAGCATATACTGCAATGCCCAGTTTATGATGTACTGGGGACTGAACCCAGGACCTACACACTCTACAACTGAGCTACATCCTACTCTGTGTGCTCTTGAGTCAAGGTCTCTCTCACTAAGTGGCCATGATGTCCCTGAATGCTCATGTACCCATGGTTGGCTGTACCCTGGACAGCCTCCTGCCTCAGCCTTTGGAGTGCTGGGGTGACAGGACCGGGCCACACACCTATTCTCCTACTTGCTTTAGGAGGCTCCAACTACAACCTAGACAAGGGCGACTTAAGGTTGTCTTTCCCAGAGTCTAGCTCCATCTCGAGGCTCCTAGTACATTCAGAAGAACCTGGGTGCGAGACGCTGCTCACCTGATGGTGCCGGTCGGGGAAGGGATGGGGCTGACGAGGCTCCGGAGGTCCGGCTCCGGAATGTGGATCTTCAGTGGAGAGATCTGAGGGTAGAGTGGCCGCAGGGGGGATGCTGGGGCCTCCTCCTTATGGTACAGGGACGTGAACTGGATCTTGATCGCTGTGCTGGGGAACCGGAAGGTGCACCTGCAAAGGAAAGACAGTGGCTGGTCAAGTACAAGGTCAGTGGGTGCAGGAGCTGAGGTCCCACTGCCCACATGGCAGGGGCAGCATGAGCCTTAAGCTTGGTACCCCTGGGAACACAAACCGGCTTACTCTGGCTTCAGCTATACTCTGCTTGTGAACAAAGGATATAAATACCCCCAGACAGGTGCCATGAGGACAAACCCATGGAGCCTCTATGTACCAGGACAGTAACAGTGATGATGAGTGTGATTACTGACCCTCAGGGGCAAATAGCCCATTTATGCACAGATCTCATTCATCACTCGCTCATTTACTTTTCCAGCAAAAAATAGCTAAAAGGACCATGCCCCATTTGAAAGCTGACTTCACTCGCTCGCTCACTCACTCACTTACTCACTCATTGTCCCACTTTCACTCATTTATCAGAAGACAAGGTCTTACTACGTGGGCCACACTGGCCTAGAACTTGAGATCCTCCTGTCCCTGTCTCCTGAGTGCTGGGATGACAGGCCTGCACCACCATGTCCAGCTTATGCAGAGATTTTAAAAGCGATTCCTTCAAGGTATAAACAAATCCACTATATAAAGGTAGAGGGATGCTCCAATGACATTTAGCCATGGGTCAGGAAGAGAGACAGACAGAGAGGGAGGGAGAGAGGGAGACAGGGAGGGAGACAGGGAGGGAGGGAGGGAGGAAGGGAGGGAGGGAGGGAGGGAGGGAGGGAGGGAGGGGAGTATGTGTTCTCTAACTGGCTTCTCACTAAATTTAAAGCTTACAAGTCTAGAGCCAGGCATGTTTACTGAGTGACAGACAAACTAATCTGACCCTGGAACAGCCAGGGAGGCCCTGCCCATGGCAAAGACCATACCACATGCTCAGACAATGAGCAACTTCCCCTGTCTCTAAGAAATGGGCATTATTTGTTGAGCACATCTTACTTCCAATTTGTGTGTGGGCATGTGGCAGCCAGAGGCTCATGTTGAGAGTCTTCCTCAGTCACTTTCCACCTGAATTGTAAAGGTTTCTCAAAGAACCCGGAACTCGCCATTTCAACTAGACCGGCTAGTTGGCAAGCTCAGGGTCTGTCCATCTCTGTGCTCACATACATACAAAATCAATAGATACAACTTGGAAAAAAAAGAAGAAAAGAAAAAAGAATTCGAGGTCAACATAAGCCACAAAGGTCAGGACTGTCTGGGATGCACAATAAACCCTGTTCTCAAAAACAAACCCGGTGTCACCTCTACTCTATTCGGCATCCCTCGACTCAGGAGCAGTTCTTCTATCATCAGAAACTTGGTTTGTATAAGGTCAAGCATGGGGCACTTGAGTACACATGCATGGGGTGGGCAGACACCACCATGTTTGAGGGGATCTGAGGCGGACTTATTTGCGAAGCTGGCTGCCCGTGAGCCAGAGGGATCTCCCTGACTCTAGCTTCCCAGCACTGGGATTATAAGCATATTCCACCATACCTGGTTTTTATGTGCTCTGAGGATCAAACTCAGATCCTCCTGCCATGTATGTGGCGAGCACCTTACCCGTCAAGCCATCTACCCCAGCTCCTCCATCAGCATCTGGACTTTGAAAAATCCATCAGTCATTTTCAAAGATGTCTTCTCACATCTGTGCAGTCAGTTCTGCATGCCTGTAAGCTTTTGCAAGACATCTAGGGCATGTCTGATGATGGCTGAGTGTCCAAACTGAGCACCTAAGGATGGAGCCTGGCTCGGGGCTGCTGGTGTGTCAGCTGGACTGGCTAAGAGTGACTTGAAAATGCCTGAACTGGCTGGGCAATGGTGGCACACACCTTTAATCCCAGCACTCAGAAGACAGAGGCAGGTGGATCTCTATGAGTTCGAGGCCACCCTGTCTACAGAGTGAGTTCCAGGACAGCCATGGTTAGACAGAGAACCCCTGTCTCGAAAAACTAAGGGGGTGGGGGAGAGGCATAAGGAGAGAAAGAGATAGAGAACACCTGCACAGAACAAACATGGTACATGTGTGCATACATGTGATGCACATGGTCAACCCATGTTAACAGGAAGATTGTCATGGTAACAAATTTCCTCTTGTTCTTTTGCCACACATTTCTTCCACCCTCTCTACCCACAGGGAACAGGAAAGATAACATGCTACATCTCACTCTGCTGAGAGGGTCCAAGGAGTCCAACATCAAAACGAGACCCTGTCACCTTAGAATCATCATGGCAACCAGAGGCTGTGGCTGTGATCCACTCCTGTGGTCACAGCAGACAAGGATCCTTCAGCACATGGTTTAGGTGGGAAAGGAGTAGGTCTGTAGACCAGGGCCTGGATGAGCTCGGGCTGAAGAACTTCAGCCTAATCTGGAGTGCCTGAAGGGCTTCCGAGGCCTTCCTTCCCTCTGCTCAGCACCCTGCATCACTGGGGCACAAGGGGTAGAAAAATGCTAGCCTGGGGTTTGCTATGCAGATGGGGACCATTCGAGAACATGGGCAGCAGCCCTTCCAGCCTCTTTGTTCTCCCTCCCTCTGCATCAACTAGGCTGAGGGCCTGAACAACAGTCACCTCCAAAGGGCCTGCCAGCTGAAACCATGAGCCCTTTAAAAAAGGCTTTGTTTATGTACGGATCCCAGAAGAGGCTCGGATCCCCTGGAGCTAGAGTTATAGGAGGGTGTAAGCTGCCTGATGTGGGTGCTGGGAATTAAGCTGTGATCCTCTCGAAGAGTACTATGTGCCCTTTAACTCCTGAGTCATCTCTGCAGCCCCAGCAGCCAAGATTCTAAGAGCTGGAGACACCGTTGAGTGGTAGAGACCCTGCCTGCCTCAAATCCCCCACCGAGCAGCTAGCATAGTGTCTCAGAGGGAACAGCTGTGTGCCACGGAGGTCTCAGCTTCTATCTCCAGTACTGCCAAACAAAACAAAGCCCGAGATGAATGTGTGCATGTCGACTGAGACTTTTAGTAAAACAGGCTTCTTCCTTTCCCTTCCATTCATGATGAGGATCATGCACCCCATGTTAGAAACACCTGATTCAATCTGCAGCACCAAGGCAGGAAGGGAGGGGAGAAGAGGGTGTTTTACTAAAGATCTTACCCATTGCTAACTGAGGTCCTTTGTGGCACCACACCCCACTTGACAGAAACCCAAAGAAAGGCACTGGGCGATAAGCATCTTCAGGTTGCCTACTGGAACAGCTCCTAACTCACTCTTCCAAAATTCAACCCAAGGCAGCTGCCCTGTCGCCAGGAATTGCTGGGAACAAAGGGCCTGCCAGCTCCTTGGCTTGGCAGAGCGGCCTCCCCAGGACACTCAGTATCTTCCATCACACCCTTCCCTGTAACATCCCCACTTAGATTCGGGGGTCTCAGCTACAGTTTCTTTTTCTGATGTTTATCTGGCTTTGAACTCCTCCTCCTCCCGCTTCAGGCTCCAAAGTGCTAAGATTGCAGGTATGTGCATCATGCCCAGCGTATCCCTCCCCGCCACCCACACACCTTTTTGAAACAAGGTCTTGCTCTGTAGAACTGGCCTTAACTTCTTGGTGATCCCCCAATTGCAGTCTTCCAAGTAGCTGTGATTTACAGATGTGAGCCAATATACCTGGCTCCTAGCTTGGAGTTTGGGGGAGCTGTTTGCAATGAAAGAATCTTCAAGAAGGTGTCACACACTGTCCCAACCTGCCATTCACAATGCCTATCCTACCCAGCTGAGGTCAAGGTGCCTACCAGACAGGGACACCACTCTGCTCTCTGTCCATCATGGAATCTACCACAGAGACAGGTTCTCAAGGCGGCACCCACCTAAGGGGGAATTTTGCTGTTTTTTTTTTAATATTTATTTATTTGTTTGTTTTAAAAGCTGGGTCTCTCTTGTAGCAAAATAACAACAAAAAACCAACAACAAAAACCAAACCAAGCCAAAACCAAAAACCAACCCTGCTTGCTCGAAAGCCAGCGATGAAAGGAGAACCAACTCCTGTAAGCTGTCCCATGAGTGCAGAGGAGACAGATAGCTGCCTGGGGTTGGCTGGGTTGGGAAGAAGGCATGGGCGCTGAGAGGCGTGGCTTCTTGGGCGTGAATAAGAACTGTATTCTAGCACTAGCTACTCAATGGGAGATTTAAATGACTAGCTATGTGGCAGGTAAATTATACCAAAGTTCTTGACTGAAGGCTCACAAGCTGACCACGAGTCCCACCCTGTCTAGAGGCCAGGGGCTGGGCTGACGGGATGGAGGCGAGAGCACTGTGCCTAGCATCAGATCTCAGTACACAGCTGGCTTGACCGTTATAGCCTTGGTTGGAGCTGGCAAGGTGGCTCAGAAGGAACCAGAGTTCGAATCTCTAGAACCACATAAAAGCTGGAGCCACAGCATGTCTGTAATTCCAGTGTTCCCAAGGAGGGGGGGGGGGGCTGCTGCTGGCCAGCTGGCACTCATAAACAACCAGACACAGTGGAAGGAGAGGATTGGCATCTGAGGATGTCCTCTGATCTCCACATATGTGGTGTGCTATACATGTGCCTGCACTCACAGGTACACACACAGGTTAAAACAAAACAAAACAGAAACAAGGCCCAGTTGATTGGGGCACCAAGTTCTTCTCTGCAACCCAGGCAGAACTTGGAACTTTATTCCATCTTCTTGCTTCAGCCCAAAGCCTGGCTACTCCATCTTTGACGGAGGAATCTAGTAACCTCCTCCTATCCAGGGGGAGCTGCCAAGCTGCCAGAAAGTAAAGATGGAATACTGAGCTCTTACTGACTTGAGACAGTTAACTTCCTCTTGGTCACAGAGACAAAGAAGTACATGAAAAAGCTTCTGGCAAAGTTTTAAAAAACTTAACACCTCTTTGCTACACAGCTGCTCCCCATTTCCACTCCTCCATCCCAGCAGAACAAGGACTTCAGTTTCTGGAAGGGGTGGTGAGGTGAGCTGTGGGAGGTGGGACCTGTAGGGGACACTGCACAGGCACTACGGGGAATACCCCACTCATAAAACAGACTCCTGGCCTGAG